GTCCCCCCCCCCCCCCCCGCCAACCACACACACTGGGGAAATTGAGGGATTGCATTCCGGTTGGATGGGTGGATGGATGGACAGATGGATTGTGGATGGGGCCTGGGTTGATTGGCAGAGCTCCTTAGAGCGGGTTTTAGAGGGCCACGCCCCTACCGACAGCTTGGGGTGGTCAGGAAGGTGGAGGCAGACCTGGATTCCAGTTCCACATCTCCATTTCTACCACCACACAGGAGTGGACAGAGACTGTGACTCGCAAGGGCGGCTTCTGAGGCGCCCAGTAATTGCTCAGGACGTTAATGAGGGTTTAGAAGAAGCTGCAGGTCCCGCCCCCAGCATTCTAGGACTCTCTTCCCCTTCCCCAAGCCTATTGAACCTACTGGGTGGACAGGGGATGGGATACGGGGAAGAAAAAGGCTACCAGATGCCTCTGTCTCAGGTGTCTAACCCCACTGTCCACCATAACTTTTCTTGATGAGAGGATTTTAGTGGTCATTGAAACCTCAATGTGTGTGTGTGTGTGTGTGTGTGTGTGTGTGTGTGTGTGTGATTAAAAAGTCACTTCCCCCTGGGTATATCAGGCACCTTTTTATGCCTCAAATTCTGATTCGATCTAACTGGCATGAAATGGAAAATCTGTCCCTTGAACAAACATTCTAAGTCATTTGTGCCCACCCTTTGAGAAACACTGTTGGAGATTTTAGTGCTCCACTGGGGAAGGGGGCAAGGAACCTAAGACATAAGTCTGGCTCACCACTCAAATTCCTGATATTTGAAAGAATAGCTGAATACTGGGGGAGGGGGGGAGATGGCAGGTGGGGCGGGAGGGGGGGGTCCCAGTGTGCTTGGGGAAAGGAGTTGCTGAGTGGAGTGGTGGCGTTTCAGGGTGCCCGCTGGACTTGGCCCTAGAAGGTTTTGCAGAAGAGTTTCCTGAGGCTGGCTGTGGAGTAGAAAAGGGGTCCTCTACTTCCTATTCCTGCTCCCCGAAGTTTAGAATAAGTGGGAAGGATGCTGAGCGATGAGAAGGACACCTACTTACCTGTTGACTTTTAGCAGAGCCACACATGTGCCTGGCACCTCCCAAGTGTTTTCCGTGTTTCCACTCCAGACACAATCTTATGAAGTGGGTGCTGTCGTCATCTCTCTTACAGGGGAAAACTGAAGCTTGGAAGTATTATCTTGCCAAGGTCATGACTAGTAAATGGTGGAGCTGGGAGTGAAATCCAGGTTATCTGGAGCCATTTCACCCATATGCTGTCCTGTATGTGCTCTGTTTGCACTATATCCATTCATCCCATCTAAACCATACTGCTTAGGAAAAAGTGCTAAGATACAAGAATGGACAGTGTGAGGATACGAGAATGGACATCGTGTGTGAGGGAGGCCTTGCAGGGTATGACAGTTATTCTTCATTATCAGTTTGACAGGATTTAGAATCATCTAGGAGATGGACCTCTGGGTGTGTCTGAGGGTGTTTTCAGAGGTGGGAAGACCCACCCTGAATATGAACAACACCATCTCCATGGGCGAATGTGAGCTGAGCATCCCTCTCTGCTTCCTGACTGCCAGTGCAATGGGACCGGCTGCTCCACGTTCCTGTTGCCACGCCTCCACGATGGATTGCACCTTCAAGCGATGAACCAAAATAAGCCCTTCCTTAAGTTGCTTTTGTCATAGCATGAGCTTTGTCATGGCAGTGAGAAAAGTAGCTAACACACAGGGAAGCGGCTGAAGAAAGTCATTCATATGGGCAAAAATGAGTGTCCAAACCTGCTGGCCCCAGCTTTCCCTCATCCCCCCCTCTCCCAGGGAGCTGCAGTGCTGGTTTGGGTGCTTACATATTCACTGAGATACCAAAGGGATTAGGTTCCCTCTTATGTCGCTTCTGTGGTCTTAATCAAGGTCCTCAGCGCCTACCAGTACAGATGATGGAGGAGGTCTTCTCAAGATTGTTGGGTGGGGCCCAGCCAGAGCAATCAATTACTACTCAATAGCTAGTCGATTGAGGCTGAGGCCTGATGGGAGGAAGGGACTGGGAAGGATGTCTGAAGAAGGCATCCACGCCAGAAGATAGGCCATGTCCTGCTGTGGTCTCCACCGTCCCCACTGCCACATGCCTGGCAGGCGTTTTAGACAGATAAAATCCAACATTTACCAGGCCCTGTTCATATGCTTTATATACATTCACTGACTTGTCCCAACTCTATGAGATGGCATTTTCGGTATCCCATTTTGTAGATGAGGAAGTTGAGGCTCTAGGATGTTAAATGACTTCCTCAAGTTCTCCCAAATAGCAAGTAGTAGTGTAGTGAGGAATTCTACCCATTCTGGTGCTCTACCACTCTGCAAACCTATCTCAGAAACATTTGGACAGTTTCTACAGAGGAAAAGCTCACATTGGAGCTCATATACCCAACCCTGGTGACTCTGGGGACAGCAAGTCACCTTGACACCAGCTGTCTCATCAGTCCCTGTCCCTTCAAGCAAGTGGCAGCTCTCCCAGGTAATACCCCTGAATGTGGGATTGGTGAAGTGGGCTTCTGACACCGTGGCTTTGACTCTTGACTGTGCTTCTCCTACTTTAGCTTCTTGGCTGAGCTCTGCACACACTGAGCCCACAGCTTCCTGAATTTCTGCACTGAGCCGTAGAATTCCACGTGTCCAAACCTCCCTTCCGGCCCTAGGGGGCCCCTCCTCCTGCCTTGCCACTCTGAGCTCCTGGAATCCAGCTGCTGTTCCCACAAGGAACCTATAAAGTAGAGCCCCCCTTCTCCCACTGCCTATCAGGAGCCTAGCCTGGCTGCATCAACCAATAGCACATCTCTCCAGTCCTGCCCTTATGCCTCGTCTTGCTGCAACTGCTACAGCCCATTGGTGGTCTTCTAGCAGTTACTGTGAGCAGCTTGTTTACATTAGTGTTAACAATCTCATAAATACCATTTTATTTTTCTTATAGCTCTTATTTGTAAGGGAGGAAACTGGGGCACAGAGAAGTATTGTAACCTGCCCAAGTTTACAGCATTAGCAAGTGTAACAACTGTCCATATTGCTAACTCCTATTTTGTACTTCAAACTCCTGCACTGCATTTCCTATCCATGGTTGCTGCTCTCTGACCTGCTTTCCTTTGCCCTTCCAATGCAACCTGGCAGCGTGTTTAAATATTTTTTTTTATTATGTGTATGAGTGTATTGCCTGCATGTGTGTGAGTGCACCCATTTTGTACAATGCCTGCAGAGGTTGGAAGGGGGTGTCGGATCCCCTGGAACTGGAGTTACAAGACGGTTGTTAGCCTCCATGTGGGTGCTGGGAACCAAACCCAAAGTCTCTGAAAGAGCACCCAGTACTCTTAACTGCTGAACCATCTCTCAGCTCCCTGGCAGCATCTTTGAAATAATGTTGAATTCATATGACATTTATTTTAGTTGCCTGGAACTCCGCTGTAAAACTGGGCAGCAGGTCCCATCCCCAAACTCTAGGAACAGGCTGGTAATGTAACTCAGTCAGTAGAATGCTTGCTTAATATGCACAAACACTTGGCACCAACCCCTAGTACTGAATAAACCAAGTATGGTGGCATTAGCCTGTAATCCCAGCCCTGGAGTGGTGGGGCAGGAGGACAAGAGGTTCAAGGTCATCTTCAGTGGCGTAGGATGTTCAAGGCCAACCTGAGCTACATGAATCCATCTCAAAGGAAACACAACACAAAACAAGACTTAACCAACCAAAGCTTTGGAAACACAGAGACCAGTGGGGTTATCTTTTATCTCCCTAACACACTAATCTGATTGGTCTCCCTCCCTGGCACAGTATCTGGTGTAAATAGATGCCTCGTGATTATGGGTGTCGGTGAAGTGGGGGGGAGTCTGGAAATCAGGTGGTGCCTGCTGTGGGCCTGCATTCTGCCAGAGCAGGGCAGTGAGAAGGGCTGGTTTTCAGTTCATGTTCAAGGTGTTTCTCTCTCGCTCCTTCTTCACTGCTTCCTCATTCCCTCCTCCTTTCTCTTCCTCCATGCTACAGACTTCGCTCACAAGGTTTAGCCACATTATCCGAGGGTGGAGAAAGTTGTCATGAATGGGCCTTCAGTGGGACTACAGAAAAGAGCCGGCTTGGAGATTGACCCAAAATAACGCACTTGAGGCGTTAAGCAAGGCCCGATGCCAGCCCTCCACCGGGAATCCTGGATTTCTACTTTGGCTGTGGTTAATCAGCAATAGGGAGAAATTGAGACCAGAACCCAAGCCCCCCTCCACTGAACTCTGCCTCCTGGCTCTGCAGAGTCCCCTGACTTACCCTAGTAGTGAGTAGTTCCAGTTCAGTTCCCCATCTCCTCTCCTGCCCATTCCTGGGGTGGGGGCAGAGGCAGGGAGCTGGAACACTGATGGGCGCTAAGCCAAGCCTTCCTAAGACTAACAGGTCACAGCCAGTCACGCATGAGCCACTTAGACAATGATGGGGGCAGAGTGGAGTTGGCTCCTGCCTTCTCTAGGCAGGGGAGAAGGGCAAGCAGGGCTTACACGGACAGGCCTGGGGACCAGCTGGGGTAAGAGAATGGATCTTTCAAGCTCCTGGAGGCACATGCTTTTGGATAGCTTTCCTGGTGTGTGACAGGGGCGAGGAAGCAATCGCTGAACGGACTTGAGGAGGTGATGGTGGTAACGGGTAGGTAAAGAGAGGTGGGAGAAGACAGAAGCAAGGAGGCAAGGTCT